GCGGGCACCCACATGACACTGAGCGTTCACGCGCGTGTCCACACGGGCATCCATGCGACTCTGAATGTTCACATGCGTGTCCCCACGGGCACCCACGTGATGCTCAGTGTTCACACGCGTGTCCACGTGGGCATACACATGAAGCTAAATGTTCACGTGTGTGTCCACGTGGGCACCCACACAATGCATCCACAAGTGATGCAAGACTGGTATACCTGCAGTTGGTGAGCTGTTTTGTTCTCTAAACATACCTTCATGCTCATAATACAGACTGATACAATATCTTATATCCTCTTTCACAGAATCATGATGTTCCCAAAATTCAAAGTCTTACCATACGTCAATTGGAATCATAAAGTGAAAAATAAATCTTGTTCGGAAAACAACAGATCACATGCCTAACCCTTGAACTTCTACTAGAATAAATTAAGCCATTTAATACTGCATATGCTTTAAAATCCTCAAGTCAAGCATTTGTATTTGGTTTGTCCATTCCTATCTAAACCATCAGATAGTCAGAAATTCCTCTAAAAATCTTAGTATTCCTACAAAGTACAAACTTCAGTAGTTTACTAATGGTCAAAAAGGATTCTATACAATCTTGCACAGAGCACTGTTTATCCTAGGTGAGGTTGATAAATATAGTTTATCTGATTCATTCAGAATAATATCTGAATTTATTCAGGAGTTGCTTACATTTAAGATCCACAATAAATGAGGTAATTTTTGATTTGTTCTAAAATTGGCCTCAGGCTTATGAATAAATTGGGTCTAAATACTTCTTGGATCAGAAATTACTCAATAGTGTTTATAAATAAAATTGTAAAACATTTAATTTTATTTCAAAGAGAGGGTGCAGTGAAATAAATTTTATGTTGCATTTCCCTGTCTTCTTGGGGTGATAAAAGGTAACCTGTAAATATAATGACAAGTGGTTTCTTTTAGTGAGAGTGTCCTTGAGAAAAAATAGGCATAAATGAAATAAAACGGGCACAAATAGGCAGAAATAAAAACTTTCATCATCATACTTTCTGAACATTCTAAGGAGTAAATAATAAGCTATGTTTTGAATACTGTTCATAACATCATATTTGGAATATTTCTCTTTTTGCTGAGAAACAAAAGCTACTTGAATTCAGTTCAGTTCAGTTGCTCAGTCATGTCTAACTCTTTGTGACCCCATGGACTGCAGCATGCCAGGCATCCTTGTCCATCACCAACTCCTGGAGCTTGCTCAAGCTTATGTCCATTGAGTCGGTGATGCCATCCAACCATCTCATCCTCTATCGTCTCCTCCTTCTCCTGCCTTCAATCTTTCCCAGCATCATGGTCTTTTCCAATGAGTCAGTTCTTTGCATCAGTGGCCAAAGTATTGCAGTTTCAGCTTCAGCATCAATCCTTCCAATGAATATTCACAACTGATTTCCTTTAGGATTGACTGGTTGGATCTCCTTGCAATCCAAGAGACTCTCAAGAGTCTTCTCCAACACCACAGTTCAAAAGCATCAATTTTTCGGTGCTTAGCTTTCTTTATGGTCCAACTCTCACATCCATACATGATCACTGGAAAAATGATAGCTTTGACTAGATGCTAAGGTATCTTGGTTTGTTAAACAATTGCTATAGCTTGCAACATTTAAAAAATTGTATGGTGGGTCTTTTCAGGTACTTAAAGTAATGTTGATACAGAGAGGTTAAATTTTTTGTCTTTGATACAAAAACTTGTTACTCATCTTGAAAAAGAAGTACCAGCTATTTCATTTTTGCAGAGTCTTCAGAAAGCACAGAATCTTCAGAAAGCACAGAGGAGGGACAGCCATAGCGTGTGGATGTGAGATGCAGGGCGTGCGGCTGTCCATCAAATCTAAGCCTGTCTGCAGGGGTAACACATATACCGGGGGTTTGCCAGGGGAACGAGGCACCAGCAGCCTGGTCAGCAGTGCGGACATGCCCAGCGGGCATCACGTGGACTCTGCTGCACCCATCCTCACTCCGGAGTCCGTGCATCCAGACCAGAGGGTCTGGCTCTGCCCTTCCGCCCCTTGAGGATGGGAATGCCAGGCTGGTCAGTCCTCAGCACAGCGCCTCTCGTACAGGTTCAGTACCCGACGCTGTCGACCAAATGAACTAAGCAAAGGAGGCAATGTCCTCCTTCCACGTCACCTTAAAGGTGGTCAAGGACCTTAACAGGGCTTCCCTGGTGGCCCAGACGGTAACAAATCCACCTGCAATGAAGAAGACCCGGGTTCGATCCCTGGGTTGGGAATATTCCCTGCAGAAGGGAATGGCAACCCACTCCAGTATTCTTGCCTGAAGAATCCCATGGATGGAGGAGCCTGGTGGGCTACAGTCCAAGCAGTCACAAAGGGTCAGACACGATTGAGAGCCTGCGCACAAAAGAACCTTAACACAAGTCTGGAAACAGGGCCAGACGCGAGCTTCGGCCCCAAGTGCACGAACACCTGTCCCTGAAAGCCTGACACACAGACTCAGAATGATGTGATTTTGACACTGAGATAAAAAGATGGGGCTTTTCATTAGTCAGGTCCGTATCTGAACATGCGAGGGGTCTGTCATTTTTTCTTCGTATCGTTCCCTCATAAAAAGAACAGCAGCATATTCACTTGAGGATGCTCATCCATGTATATTGTGATGGATACAGTTTTATCAGGAAGTGACCAGATCAGGTTTGAAAAGGTGCAGAAGAATCATAACTGCAGGAAATACCTCATTGCAAGCTGTGAGTTCTTGACCCACTGTGAGAGCAAACAGTGAGTGAACATTCTGCTGCTTTCCTGTTGCCCAAGGGCTTTAATGATGCGCCAAAGTTCAAAATCATTCTCGCAAATTTCTCTTTGCTCTAAGCCTTTCCTCTGGAGGTGGTACAGAGGAATGTCACACCACCAACACACATCTCTCAGCTCAGTCTTCCACTTTAGAACTCCTCTAGAGTTTCTGGCCTGAGGAAAAGTGGCAAAGACGGAGATGCAGCAAGGAACGATAGATGCACGTATGCCATATGTACAGTCTTTTGTTGTCTGCTGCGTATATGGATGCCTTGGGCCATGGCCAGGTTGCTGAAGAAGTTAACTTCCTTCAGCAGAGGCATCTTGCCTAATAAAGAAGCCTTATTTGTGGACTGGATCAGAAGGTAAACCGAATGTTTAAATACAAGCAGAGAGATCGTCCTCTAAAATATCACTAACTGTATAGCTTCCCAGAGTGACAAATCTCATTGGTTTGGAGAATAACTGCCCAAGCTATGTGCTCATACAGACATATATATATTTTCCTACTTGTTCATTATTCAGCATGACTAGTCCCTGTAGACGGTGTACCAGCTCCTTACATGTCAGGGGCTTGCTATTTTGCTCTAATGCAATAAATGTGGAAGTTCAATTACCAAGCAACAATGAGATTGTGAAGTCTATTGTGGGCCTGCTCTGCAGTTCCCTGCCGAAGGCAACAAAGCAAGTCACACAACAAGCAGAGAAATCATTCTAAACCACGTGGAGATCCCAGAGTGATAACCCATCATGGTTTATTTTGATGGAAACAATAGTTACCCCGAGCAGGTGCAGAGGAGTGGTCCATAAAGGGAGGCTGTGAACGAGCCTCATTGATGAAGAACTTCTCTAGGACAAATGACTTCGATGAAAACTAGATTCCTATCTACAGGAGAGCAAAGCAGAAAGGGCTTACTGTGCTATGATTGTAATGACAAAAAGAGAGTTAGGTTATACACAGAGATCCATTGCCGCTGATGAGAAAAGCTTTTGAATATCTCAACTTGAAGTGGGAATTGCAATCACTTTGACTTTCTGCAATATCCCCCTGCCTTTCTCTGTTAGTCTCTTTCTGCTATTAAGTTCTGCAATGCAACGCCTGCTCTAAACCTGTAATCAAGAACGTTTATATATGTGGAATGAGTCAGTTCGCAATACATATAGCAACAAAAGTTCTCAGGTCAATGTATTTTTGAGGCAAGAGATTCTCATGTAGCCATATCCCCCCTTTATGTTACTCTTTCAACCACATCTTGCCAGGGCAACTAATTTGGATCACAGCTTCCACTCTGCTGGCTGACCTTGGCCTTGGAAGAGACGTTGAACTATGGCACAGAAATTCCAAACTGACGGTGGGTTGAGCAATGTAGAAGTTTATGTCTCTGTCAGTTAACTGTAAGTAATCCAGGGTTGGTCAGAGACCCCACATCCTTGGGGACCCCGGCTCTGTCTCCCTGGTCTCTCTGTTACCCTCATGATACAGTTTCACCATCAAGGTATCATGTCAATACTTGAGCCTGCAACACCAACCGATACTCTGACCTCCCTTTGAGACACTTCCTGAATATTCCGTAAATCCCTCCTGTTGACATCCTGCTGGCCAGAAATTTGTGACTTGGGAAATAAAGCCTTTATTCTGATTGTGGGTGCATGCCAAGTCGCTTCAGTTGTGACCAACTCTTTGCGAACCTATAGATTGTATCCTGCCAGACTCCTCTGTCCATGGGATTCTCCAGACAAGAATACTGGAATGGGTTGCCATGACCTTCTCTGGGGGATCTTTCTGATCCATGGATGGAACTGGCATCTCTTGAGTCTCCTACATTGGCAGGTGGGTTCTTTACCACTAGTGCTGCATTGTCTCTGGACCCAGATAACCTCCAGGGGAAGAGGAGAATTACTGGGGATAGCCAGTCTTTAAGTCAAGGATGTATATGAAAAGGCAAAAGGGAAAGTGAAAGGTAAGGCAGTGAAAGAAACACTACAATTAAGATGCACGTGTTTAAACATGGAAAACAATTTTTTTAAAAAACGGAGGGATAATTCTTCTTACCACACATTCAGTTACAGCCAGTGTGAAAAAGGGATGTGGGAAGGAATTATGATGAGAAAACAAAGCTGCGTTCTGCGTGGCAAAACAAAGCTCTTTGAGAGAACCCCGGGTCACGCTCTGCCGTGACGCGGGTCTGAGCCCCATCCGCTGGTGCTTGCTAGGTCTGCACAAGTCACTCAGTCCTGAATGGCAGTCTGGAATTCAGTGTCCTGACGGCTTCTTTCTGGCTGAGAAGATGGAGGACACAGCTCACCCTCATTTCCCGTCTGGATATATTGATCAGAAGGTGGAGGACAAAGTCACCCTCATTTCCTGCCTGGATACATGGATCATGAGCTTCCTGTCTGATTAGCATCTCCTCTCGCTGACGGAAGAAAACCCAGTGTGGGAAGAAATTAATTATGAAGGGGGTCTGTACTTTGCCCCACCAGGAGGAGGAGACACACACAGCTCAGGGCTTCACTGGGAGCCTCCCGGCCTGCAGGACGAGCCCCCTGATATGTTTCCACTCAACAGTAATCATCGTGGGCCTGAGGGTACCCACAGCTCCACAGTCAAAACTCCAGCTACACATCTCCTTGTGCCAAATCATACAGTATTTCATCTTCTCGTTCATCACTATTCTAAGAGGCAGAGCGGGAAACAGTACTGTCCACTGACAAACTGCTAGTCAAACATTTGGACAGGCTATGATTTGGACACCCAAATCAGGTCTGGACTTAAGGAATTCAGGTAGACAACTTCACTGCGGAAAGAAAAAAGATGCGTTTACAGAGAAAATCTTTATTGCAAAAGGGATGTCCTTCTGAAGCTGCTGACTTTGATTTCAGTACAGCCATTATACTCTGGTTCCACGGGTTTCCCTTGAGGCTCAGTGGTAAAGAATCTGTCTGCTAATGCAGAAGACGTGGGTTTGATCCCTGGGTTGGGAAGATCCCCTGGAGAAGAAAATGGCAGCTCAGTCCAGTATTCTTGACTGGCAAAGCCTATGGATTTTCCAGAGCCTGGCAGGGTACAGTCCACGGGGTTGCAAACAGTTGGACATGAATGAGCATGTTTGCACCATGCACCTGGCTGCTTACAAAAAGAGCTAAATTGTTCAGCGTGTAATTCTCTGTATATGAAATACCAGGTTCTGTGTACTTGGGTACATTCATAAATAGACATAAATTGCCTTCTTTGATGTCTCACAATTCTTGGAAAAATTTACAAGTCCTTGCATCTAACAGCAGAAAGGATTATTTTCCTTTACTCATATTTGTAACACAAATATGGTGCTTTTACTTCCAACTAAAATCCACATGAACCTCCTCATTATATGGCACGCGATGCCTTTCATATTAATTTCCTGTGGCCATTGTCACACATTCAGTGGCCTGTAGCAGCAGGAGTGGAGTCTCCCTCATCTCTGGAGGTGTTGGCAGGGCCATGCTCCTTCCAGTGGCTATGAGAGCGATTTTGCTCCTTGACTTTCTGATGTTTGGGGGTTGAAGGAAACGCTGGTCCTTCCGTGGCTTGTAGCCACTTCACCCCAATGTCTGCCTCCATCATCACACGGCCTCTTCTGTGTCTTCTCTTCTGTCCTGGGTCCCCTCTACAGGACACTTGAGATAGGATATAGGGCTTATCCAGACAATCCAGAATGATCTCTTCATCGACAGATGCTTAACGATGCTGATAAAGCTTCCTTTTCCAAATAAGCAGCACCAACAGGTTCTGGGGTTGGGTATGGATATATCTTTAGGGGACCCACTACACCCTTGATGGTGTGGCTCCCTGGGTTCATTTTAATGTCATCTCCTGCAATGCCCTGTATAGTGACCTATCCGTTGCCCTTATCAAATACACAGCGTTGTTCACACAGCGTTGTGTCCTCCCACTGTAAGAAATGTGACTTTCTTTCTTGTGCAGCCTGTGACCTCCTACTCGCTGTCTGCCACAAATTTCCCATGATTGCCTCCACGCGCCTTCTTCCTGAATGCACAAACGCACTGGAGCCCTTGTCACGATGCTTCCTATTTTCTACAAAAGCTTTCATCTGACTGTGTTTCCTCCACCACAGATTGCAAAAATTCATCCTGTGTCTGTTTCAATACCCCAGGTGCTCTGTAATGGTTTTAACAACTTTTTTTAATATCACAAGTAAACTGAAATTATTTAAATTTCCTTTTTTTTAAAGGAAAAAAAAAAATAGATTGCCTGAAACCCTAACATCAAATGGCTTCCCTGGTGGTTCAGATGGTAAAGAATCTGCCTGCAGTGCAGGAGGCCTGGGTTCGATCCCTGGGTCAGGAAGATCCCCTAAAGAAGGGAATAGCCACTCACTCCAGTATTCTTGCCTGGAGAAACCCATGGACAGAGGAGCCTGGCGGGCTACAGTCCACGGGGTCGCAGAGAGTCAGACGCGACTGAGCAACTAACATTAGCACTACCATCAAAAGTTAAAAATAGGAAACATTTAATTCATGTACATCCTTCCTATATTTATGTATATGCATACTTGTGGGTATATGAAAAGTTACTAAACTCAATCTGTAAATATATTTTGTCCAGACACAGCATGCACTTAATGAATGTTTGTTGAATAAATTAATGAATTTATGAATCAAAGAATTAAAAATTTGCCACTTAGAGATAGCTACAATGGTCAGAGAATAAAAGATTCAAAGAAGTCATTACTTTGGCCCAAACATAAGTCTCGGCTAGGGTTCCTAAAGATTTATTTTTAAGATCTTATCAAAAGGTGTTTACTTACTATCCAAGTTATATACAGATTTTAGGAGTAGAAATAAAAGAATTCTTCCACGTGGTGAAGATAGTCTATTCTTCTAAGTAATTCATTCTTGAAGTTGTCTCTTCTTCACAATGTTCTAAAATATAACAAAAGACATGTTTTCTCCACACTCTCGACTTCACTGTCTTTCCAAAGATGGTCTTGAGCAAATGTGGAAAGACAGTATTAATAACTGGGACCCGTGAGAAACATCTAGTTCATTCATTCAATAAACCAAAGACAGGAGAGAAAATAAACAAGCTTTCATGAGTTTTTACCTTTTATGAATTCAAATTAACATGAAGTTCCCTGCAGAAGCAAAAGTGATCAGGGAAAACTTGTAAATAGAAGTCCATCCTTCTGACACATACAGATTTATTTCCCAAAAGTTACACGTCTATTAGCCTGAGGCACAGAGAGTGCAAGTCTGTGAACTTGACAGAGAATAAAACGCCAGGTTCTTCCTTCCACGCTGTAGATGGCGGGACGGCAGCTCTCCGGCAGACCTCCTAAGGGGGCAGCCACGGAGCCCTGCCGGGCGTTCACCACACTCAGAGATGAGTCCGCTCCGGCCGGGAGGAACACAGCCTCCTCCTAGAACAGTTTTCTCCGGACTCTGGAAGACACTTGAGTTTGCTGAGTTCCTAAGGAGAATTCCAACACGCTCTCACAAAGGCCTGCTTTTTATCCTGCGTTCTCAAAATGGGAAGTCTCAAAGAGGTACAAAGACCAAACCCGCAGACAGTGGGCACTGGAGAGCCAAAATCTACGCCTTGGTGATGACAGTGAACTCAGGTTGGCATAGGCTTCAGTCAGACTTAGGCTGTTCTGCGTGTCGCTCTAAAAGGAACTTCATGGGAAGGAAAAAAGTGAAAGCGCTATCGTTTTAAATTTCTCACCCGTTAAATGGCAGAGTTCCTCCTGATCCCTTAGGTGGGGTTTGGCTTTAAAAGGAAATATGGCAAGGGCCCCGGAAAGCAAACTATCTTTTAGCTCTTCTCTGGGCCTGAGTCTCCTCTCCTGCAAATCTATCGGAAAGCTCTGAAACAAGGAGAAATCCAAAATATAAAACAGCAAAGGTGGTGCTTCCTTAGTTCAGTTCAGTCGCTCAGTCGTGTCCAACTCTTTGCGACCCCATGGACCGCAGCACGCCAGGCCTCCCTGTCCATTACCAACTCGCAGAGTTAGAATAAGTGTATTTCATAAACTTGCCCTTCAACCTTTTATTATGATCAGATCCATCAGCCAGAACAAAAATGATATTTTGAAATTAGTAGCTATGACTGAGAGCTGCAATTTTATAGACTTTATAATTGGTCTTAATATCCACTTTATTTTCTTGTGATTGTACAGACCCTGAGAAATTACGATTTAAAAAAATAGTATTTAACCTCAATCTAGGGTATTCTTCAATTATGTAGAAAGAGCAGAAACTAAAAGCTGGCACGGTAGTCAAAAAAGAGACATCTGATGTGTTAAAATTTTATTACGTTTTAGAAATATGTGAAAATATCTTGTGGAATAAAAATATAATCAAATGTTCCCAACCCTTCCCCTTTCCCAGGATTCTACACAGTTTGAAAATTGCCTGTCAAGATGGCCTCTGAGAGTCCCCCCAGCCCCCAAAGTCAGCGACTGTGTATTTGCTCGTTGAGCTGAGTAAGACGCTGCTGACTGAACTCCTGCTCTGAGGCTCTGCCAAGCTCGGGCAAGTCTCGGCTATGCACGCAGCCTGAGAAGGTGAGATGCCGGGATGATAAATCATCACAGAAGAACTAAGGTCTCGATTTCTTTCATCTTGCAGACTCATATAATCCCCTCTAATGTGAAGGTTTTAACAACGTGAATGTGATCTAAAGGACCTTGAAATCTCCTTTCGATCAAATCCTTCTCTGACAATGTCAGGATGCCTGCGGCTTCTATTTTAGAAAGTCTCCTGGGAGGCCCATGCCAGGCCTCTGGTGAAACAACTTGTTAGGGGCACATGACATGCCAGCCATGAACATCCCAGGAAAACTTAAATACAAACACAATTGGCATAAGCACATCATCTTATTCTCATATTCCACAATCATTTACGGAGTGTCTGTTTGTTGAAAGGCTCTATAGTTATCTCTGAGCTAATTTCTGCCCTCTAGGAATTTGAAATTAGGCAGAGAAGAAATATTTAATGAAACCGTGTGAGGTGCTTGGTCGCTCGGTCATGTCTGATTCTTTGCAACCCCATGGACTGTAGCCTGCCAGGCTCCTGTGTCCACGAAGATTCTCCAAGCAAAAATACTGGAGTGGGTTGCCATGCCCTCTTCCAGGGTGATCTTCCCAACCCAGGAATTGAACTGGGGTCTCCTGCATGGCAGGCAGATTCTTTACCAGAGCAGCTCAATGAAATTACATCACTAAAATAAATCATATGGTAGATATCACTAAAGACAATCATGGAAAGAAACATGAATGAGGACAAGAAGCTCTTCGAGATGGACTAAATAATCGGGGAGGATCTTTGATTAGATGAGTAAGGGAAAACAATCTGTGGGCAGATCACAGAGATCTACAGAGCGAAGGTGTCTGGAAAGGAGCCA